ACGGTCTCTCCTGCCCGGGCTGGCTTTGAACCGCGATCCTCAGATCTCAGCCTCCTGAGTAGCTAGGATTACAGGCATGAGCCACCAGTGCCCGGCACTACGCTCAGCTCTTTATTGTTGTTTTTGACCTTGAACTATCTCCTCCTAGAAAAGGTTTTGAGGGCTGGATGTGGTAGCGCATGCCTGTAATTCCAGCACTTAGAGGGCTAAAGCAGGAGAATGATGGGTTCAGGGCCATCCTGGGCTACACAATGAGACCCTGTCTCCAACCAACAAAAAGAAAGGGTTTGGAGGATGTAAGTCCGGTGCACTAAGGACCAGGAAGCTGGGCTGGCTGGGAGGCAGCGCTGGCAGCCCGCAGCGGCTTCCACACTAAGCGGGCTCTGCCATGTCCTCTCCAGATGTTCAACTGCATCACAGAGCTGGTTCTCCGAGCCAAGAAAGACAACCTGGCCAAACAGCAGCAGCAGCAACAGAACGACGTGGTGAAGCTCACGAAGAACAGTAAACGAAAGAAACGCTGCTGCTAATGCCCCGGCCGCTGCAGAGACTGCGCTGCCGTCCCTCCCCCAGCCCGAGGCCCAGAAGGCTCCTCGGGGGACAGTCTCAGTTTCCTGCCGTTATTTAAAGAATTCTCCATGTTTTTTGTATCGGGAGGCGCCATCCGCACTTCCTCTCCCTCCCCCCTCGAGTGCCAAGAAGGTGTTGCAGGAGCCTGCCCTTCCCACTGGTGCCCTCCTGCCTGCCGAGGCGCCTGGACTTGGCGAGGACGCTGCCAGCTGAGCGGACTGATTAACCAGTTTGTACATAGTGTATATTGCTTTAACCAGCCGCACACCCTCGTTCTGCTCTGGCTTTGCCTCCTTAATGCCAACCTGCTGAACAGACCCCGCACCTTCCCAGCCCATCTGGCCGCCAGCAGCTTCCTGAGGAGACAGCCTCACCTTGTCGCTGTGTCTGGCTGACCTGGACCCTTGGCATGGGCTCCACGTTGCTCATTCTCTCCTACGGGCTGTCCCTGGCACGCAGGGTCCGACCCCTCTCCAGGGCCTGTGCCGGCCCACCTTCCTGCCCCCCCAGCTGCTCTGGGAGCTGGGGCCCCGGGGGCCTTGAGGCGTGCCCCGACCTCTGCCGGCCCCAGGGCTGTTGGTCCTGAGAGGAAGTCAGTACTCAGCTTTGGCCTACTCGTTTGTGGTTTCAGCAGACAGGTAGGGGTATGCCTGCAGAGACGGGGCTTGTGGGGGGCAGCAGGGTGGAATAGGAGCATTATTTTAACTGATAAACATGAAGCCAAATCAAATTAATTAAGCTCCTCAATTATTTTCTTCCCAAGGCTTGGCTGGCCCCGCAGTGCAGGGTGCCGTCCCCCTGTAGGGTCTAGCGCGTTTAGAGCAGCGAATTGCTTCCCGTCATCTGGGGCCCAGGCTCTTTCCATTTCTTGGGAAAAGAGAAGGGGCCCTGCACCCTGGACCTTGTGGGCCCAGGGGCCGCCTGCTGGGGTTTGGAGTCTGTGTACTAGCACCTCGATGTGGGAGTGGACATCAGGGGCTGTCAAATGATGGGGTGACGCCTCTGAGCTGGGGCGGCAGCACTGGGTCACTGACAGAGCTGTTTTCGTGTGAAGGTGGTAGGATTTGTAGCATTGTGGGAAGAAATGGCCGTGGGTGGGGGCAGCCCGTTTTGATGGAGGCCGGTTCCCTGGAGGAAAAGCCAAGGCCACCTGCATTTGATGACTGCTCCTCCCAGCACACTTCATTCCCTTCTCCCCTAAAAGGATCACGTACCTGCGAAGAACTGATCTCAACACCATGATGTGTTTTACTAGATTTCCTGTCCTAGGCGATTTCCAGGCACAGCCCTGACTGGACAATCACTGACTGCAGAATTTCCATGTTAACACTGTGGATGGGTTTTTAATCAATAAAAACTGGGGGTTTCTTCTCACCTGTCTCTCCACTTGTCCAAAGTGTCAAAAGCTGGGGTCCCATGTGACAAGGCCTTCACCTTGGAGCTGCGGGCGTGGATGGGCGCTGCGCTGGCGGGCTGAGCGGCAGGCAGCCTTGTCTGCGGAGCTGGAGCAGCAGCGCAGTCCCCGTCCTTGGCATTGTCCTGGCTGAGGAGGCGCCTGCCTGGTGGGCATGCGCAGGGCTCGGGGCTCCCGCGGTGGGGTGTCACGCTTGCCTGAGCATTAAGCCAGGCTGGAGCACTGGAGGGCTTCTGGCATCTGGACATCCAGGCTCAGGTGTGGGGTGATGGCCCCCCGTCCCGCTGAGTGCCGCAGGCATGAACCGGGGTTAGCGAGTGCCGGGGGTCCCAGGGCTAGATGGACTTGATGCGAGATTCCTGTCAAACAGACTTTCCAATGGTTTACTAGGATTATTTCTGTATTGAAAGTTTCTAATGATGCTTTTTAAAAAAACATACTAAAAATAAAGATTCAAGCTGCCAAATTTCCTTCCAGGATCTGTTTGCTCTCCCTCCCGCCTGTGCTCCGGCGGGCCTGGCTTCTTTCCCACCCACGGGTCCAGCTCCTGCTTGTTTTCAGTGTGTGTCTGGCGCAGGTGCCTGTCAGGCCCTGGACAATTTCAGAAGCAAGTTCCCTGCGCCAGGGCGGCTGGCCCCGGGCGGCTCTCCCCTCCGGATCAGTGCCCCGGCCGGGAGCACAGGTGGGAAGACGCCATGGCAAGCGCCATGTTTGTCACATGCTGGAAGGACGCAGGGAAGCCTTGGCCTGCAGTGGTTTCTTTCTGGCTGGGAGTTTGTCAAGTTCAGGGCCAGGTGCGGCCTGCCTGATAGTTTACATGCTGGAGGCCTGGTGGGGAGCCTGAACCATCGGGATGGAGGCGCCGCTCCTGGGCCGCCCTCCCAGGCGCTGCGGCTGGGCCAGTTCCGCCGTGCTTCTGACTGAGAAGGCGCATTCGTACCAAACCCTTCCCCTTGCCCAGCGACTGAGGCAGAAAGCTCTGTAGAAATTAATTTTATTCTTATTCAGACTATTTTCAAAAGAAGCAGTGGTGCGCTGTTTTTCTAAAAATATGCCTTTATAGATTTATATATGTATATTATAAAATCCATACATGTATTTACACGGTTGCTACATACAAAATTCCAGCACTGTGGTATGTACATATCTATAGGTACATTCTTTCTGCTCATCCCTGCTGTGCTTTTCCCGGTGAGGGCAGGAGGCTGAAGCAGTGTGCGCGGCTGCGGGCTGGCAGGGCCGCACAGCCTCTGCGTTGGGGCCTCAGCAGAGATGGGGGGTGGCTGCAGGCCTGGTGGGCAGTATCTAAAGGCTCCCAGCAGCCTCACCCCATCCACCCTGTGGTACCTACACTGCCTTCAATGTGAGGGTGGCTGATGGGGCCCCTGTGAGGCCGTTCTGTGGCCTGGGCAGGCGTGGCAGGGCCAAGAAGTTACACTGGAGGCAGGAGAGGCTGTGGGAGGAAGATGAGCCTCCCCTTCAGCCCTGGCCCCATGGAGGGGAGAGGGTGGGATGGCGGGATGGCGTCGCACAGGACACCAGTGAGAACACGCTGCCTGGCCCTGGCCTCAGCGGAGTAAGGACTGCACTGGAAGAGGAAAGGCCCGGAAACAGGGCCCTCCCTCGGCTCCAGGGGTGAGCCCCGGGCCTTCACCCCGCAGCCGCAGGCTGGGCCTCCTGCCGTGGAGGGCTCCAGCAGAGGTACATGCATGTAGGCACGGGGCGCCTCCCCTGACTCGCTGGGCCAGGGCTGGGGCAGAAATGGAGGCATGCGGGGGGAGAGCCTCCGCTTCTGTTCCCGTCTTCTGGAAGCGAGGCGGCAGCAGAGCCCGTGGGAAGGCGGCTTTAGGAGGTGGCCTGGGCCCCGCTCAGTGATGGGCTCCGTGGGAATCCCAGGCCTGGGCCTGACTGGGAAGCGGGGACAGGGTCCCTACCTGTCTCTCTCCCTGTCTTGACAGCAGCCTCCGGAGGCGAGGCCAAGGCAGGCCACGGCCTCAGCCTCCGTGGCGCTGCCGGAGGGGGGGCAGGCTGTGGAGGCGGATGGGCCCTGGGATGGGGGAGCGGTGCTCGCGGCGCCTTTGAGCTGCCCACCTCCTGTCCTTGGCGTCCCAACTCTTCCCAACTTAAATTTTCCTGAAGAATGAGAAGAGCCGTCTGCCTTCTGTGGTGCCGGGCTCGGGGCCCCGCCCGGGCCCGTGGCGGCCGGAGAAGGCGGCAGCAGGCCGGCTCCGCTCCTTCAGGTGCGTGTCCATCAGCTGCCGGTCAATGACCCTGTGCATGTCATCCTGCGGAACGGGAGAACAGGTGGGAGGTGAGACGCGGCTCTGGCCTGGCCAGCAGACGGACAGGGAGGTAACAGACGTGGGAAGGACACGGATGAGGAGGAGCAATGAGATGGGTGAACAGCGACACAGGGCTGCCAGACCAGAAGGAAGAGGTGAGGGTGCGCGCGCACGGTGCTGGGCACGCAGGAGCTGTTGGTGCTCTGTCTCCTCGGGGCTTGAGCTGACTTTGCTGCCAGCGCCATCCCTCCTGACCCTAAGCTGCTGTCCCTGTGGGCAGCAGGCCCAGAGCTGGCCTCTGCTGGCCAGCTCTCCGGGCCAGCGACTGGCCTGGGGGCCGCTCACGCTCTGTTTTCCCCTCTTCCATCTCCCACCTGCCCGTGAGCGCCCCCGCCCCAGCCAGCCCGGCTCCTGGCCCGTGAGTGCCCCCGCCCCAGCCAGCCCGGCTCCTGGGACAGCATCGCCGTCTTCAGGGACACTGTCTTGCACCAGCGAGGCCCATTTTGGTCAGCTTCACTGGGTGAAGGACCTTTCCCTGCTCCAGTTTGCCTGTGGCCTAGAAAATGTGTCCACTGCTCTTGCTTACACAGCAGCAGCTTTTCCTGCACAGAGGAGGGCCGCTCGGGCTCTCGCCATTCTGGCTGCTAGCTGCTGATGCTGGGTAGGACTCCACCTCACAAGGAGCTCTGCCACTGACCACGTCTGTAGGTCAGTGGCCCTGAGTAACAGCCATCAGCAGTAAGGGCAAGGCTGTCTGCTTGACTCAGAGCCCTGAATCCAGCTCTGGGTTCTGAGATGTGCTGGTAAAACGACTGAGCTCCGGGTTCAACCCCGAAGGGACTCCGTCCCTCCAGTCCTAGCCTGGGTCAGGAGAGGCCGGGGTCTGGGTGTCTCCGCAATTAGGGCCATGTCCTCTGTGGCTCTGGGAGGCAGTTGGGCTGGCCACGCCCCTCCCACCAGCCTGTCCATCACTGCCCCTGACTCGCGGAGCCTCTGCAGGTCTCGGGCAGTGAGGAGATTTCTTGGTTCATCACCAGATGGTGGTGAAAACGTACTTACCTCCCCTTGCTCATGACAGGCAGCCCGCCTTCCTCAGCCTCCATCACACTAACTTCCTCCCTGGCTCCTCTCCTTCCAGCCCCTTTTCTAAACTTGCTCCTCACATCTGATGCTGTACTAGGTCTTGGCCAACAGCCCTACTTCGAGGTTCCCACCCTGCCCTGCATGGAGGGCGGGCATGCTCAGTAAACTCTACATCGTTAGCTACAACAGGCGGAGGAACACGAAAGGGTCCTTCAGAAAAAGCTGGTGTTTCTCACAGCTGCAGCACCCTCCACCTTTATAAAGAACCAAGTTCACAGCCACAGCATCTCATGCTTGCCTCCTCCAGCAGGCAAGCTGTTTATGAGAAGGTGGCACCAAGAAACCAGGTTAGCCGGAGATGGTTTGACCTGACAGAGCTGGGCATGCGCTGCCACAGGCTCACTCGACACGATGGGGGCAGCAGAGGCGCTCGGGCTTGGGCATGATGGCATGTCACTGCACAGATGACGCCGGGCTCCCGGCACACAACACGGCGGGCTGCGAGGGGAGGCGGCATGATGATGGCGGTGAGGGGAAGGTAAGTGGGATGTAGGCTCGGTCTCACCTCGAAGGCAGGAGGGGTGTACGACTAAAGCTGTTGGTACGGGAGCTGAGAAAGGCCACTAGATCAGAAACCAAAGGAGCCAGATAGTGAAAAGCCCCGAGGAAGCAAACTGCAGCCAGGAGAGAAGAGAGAGCAGCGCAGTGAGCCGGGGCCTGGCCAGCTGGCGGCCTTGCAGAGCCAGGGAGCCAGGGCACCGGCCTGGTGGGGCCAGGGCTCAGCTGCCAGCTCCGCTGGGCCTTGGAGGAACAGCCACCGCTGGCCCGCCCTTCTCTGTGGGGCTCACCTCAGAGTCCCACTCATCTGTTTGAGGCTTCTTGGGGAGATGCATTAATAGGTACCCACATTTCAACACTGGACTCCCTCAAGCTCCTCACTGAAAAGCCAGTTATAACAGCTCTGGCCCAGCAGGGAGCTTTGCAGAATCCCGAAAACAGGTCCTAGTGATGGCCTGCACAGGCCTGCACAGCACAGCACTCTGAGAGAGGAAGCGGCTGGCCTTTGGGACAGGGAAGGGCAGCAGCTGCAGGGCTGCTGGCCCGCATCCAGCTGCGGTTTGTCATTCGTCACACGGGGCTTCCCAGCCCTACCACTGCTGATCTGTTTCCTTCTAGTTTTAAGCCAAGCCATGAGGAGCAGCTGAAGAAGGGCCTGGTTCAAGTCTGGAGGTCACTGCAGCCCCAGACGGCAGTCACGGTCCCCAGGGACAGGAATTCTGTGGGCAGGGAACGGGGTGACCCTTCTGCCTCACACTGCTGACTGCAGGGGCTCTGGGGGTGTCCCTCGCCCCGTGTCGCAGTGCTCTTGCTTACCTGCCACGCCTCAAGCTGCTGTGAGAGGTTCAGTTTCTGCTGAATAGCATCCAGCAGCTGGCTGTTGAGGGACATCATGTCCATCTTGCACTTGGCCAGTTCCAGCTCCACAGCGTTCTTCCTGCAAGCAGAAGGCGGGGGTGAGCACAGACAGCTGTGCAGGGGCACCTGGCTCTCTAGGAGGAGACCTGACTGCAAATGCACAATGAGTCTGTAACTAGGTTGTGCAACAAGCTGCCACAGGGTTCTCTCAACCTTCAGAGCCAACCTGTAGGTGAGGGGACGGTTTGTCACCTTCATCTCAACAGGTGGAAGAACAGGCCGAGAGTGATTGAAAGAGGAGGACAGGGCTGGGAAAGTGGCTTGGTGGCAGAGTGCTCGCCTTGCATGTGTGAAGCCCTGGGTTCCATTCCTCAGTACCACATACACAGAAAAAGCTGGAAGTGGCACTGTGGCTCAAGTGGTAGAGTGCTAACCTTGAGCAAAAGAAGCTCAGGGTCAGTGCCCAGGCCCTGAGTTTAAGCCCCAGGACTGGCAAAAATAAAAATAAAAAATGTAAAAAGAGGAGGATACTTGAATGAGGAATGGAGCCAGGCACCGGTGGCTCACACCTATGATGCCAGCCTCTCAGGAGGCTGAGACCTGGATGATCATGGCTCAAAAACCAACTAGGGCACGAAAGTGTGAGAGACTTCATCTCCCGTTAATCATCAAATAGCAGGGCTGGAGGTATGGCTCAAGTGGTAGAACACAAGCCACAGGTTCAAACTCTACTACCAGCAAGGGGCGGGGGGAGGAGATTGGAGCCCAGAAGGGATCAAAGGCCTTATATGGCACAAAGGAACGCGCCCCTGGCAGGGTGCAGTCCTCCCTCCACCTCCTCCTCCTGGAGGGGGAAGGACGAGCGAGGTCCTCTGACTCTTAAAGGAGTCATCTGTAAGAGAGAAGTGTGCAAAGAAAGCCACACAGGGGTGATCAGCACAGCTTAACTAATGCTAGTACCAGAACTGGGCAACTGGTGGAATATTGGGGAACATGATAGGCTATGGGCACCAGTAAACAAAACAAAATGAAACAAAAGACCAGTTTGCTGCTGCTCAGTGAAGGAAAGAGCCAGAAAACAAGGTGGAGATTTGTAAAAGACTATGTGGAAGGCACACACAGAAATCTAGCTGGTCAGGCTGACTCTCCTGACATACTTTTTGTGTTTTCACGTTTTTGCATATTTCATGTATTATTTTTTTCTACTTTGCCTAACAGTCCTAAATTAAGCTGCTAAATACAAAAGAAAATTGGTGGGGGAGGGGGATCTAAAGCAGGAGGAACTGGAGCAGCCCGGGGCCCAGACGCCCAAATGTGCATCATTTAGCCCTTGCCACGCCCCCGCTCCCTTCCCCCCCCTCCCCGCCCCCTCCACTGGAAACAGCAAGGCTCAGGAAAGGACCTCCTTGCACCCAGCCAGCGACCACCCAAGGATGGCCGGGGCATCCCCACCTGCAGAGGCCACCCGCTTTGACTTGGGAACGCCGCCTGCACGAGCAGAAGAGCAGTGGGTCCCATTTACAAAATGCTCAGCCGCCGCCCTCCCCCAGCGGTGCCAGCACTTCCTCCCGGGCCTGGCCGGGTCCACAGAGCCATTAGTCACCCACCACCCACCACCAGGACCCAGATCCACACCCGCCCAGAGGCTCTCCGCTGCGGTGCCTGTGCTAGCTCCGCCCACTGCGGCTGTGGGCCTCTAGGATAGGCCCCGGTCTGCCCAATGAGCATGGGGCTCAGAGTACTGCAGACTACCTCTGTCACGCTAGACGCCATTGGCTGGCGTGGAAGAGCGGAAAGCCTCGGAGGGCGCTGGTTGCCATGGACGCCAGCCCGGCCACACAGTCCAGGAACAAACCCCAGGGGTTGGGTAGCAGCTGCAACCTCACGCTTCTCAGCCTTTGCCAACAGGTGGCGCTACAAGCAGCCCGGGGAAGGGCTGCGGGTTGGCCCCGCAGGCCTCCACGCCTGGCCGGCTGGCTCTGAACGTTTGCTCCCTGAACACCCTCAGTACTTGTCATTCAGCAAAAACCCCAGACCCCGAAGGCACAGATGAATTTAATAACCACATTTTAAAAGGCAGTACTTCCAAGCGCGAGGGCTAGAATTCCTTTACTTAAATGTAGCCACTAGGACCTGACCTTTTATTTTCTGGCCAGTCCTGGGGCTTGAGCTCAGGGCCTGAGCTTCTTTTGCTCAAGGCTAGCACTCTACCTCTTGAGCCACAGCGCCACTTGGCCCAGGTTGGCTTCAAACTGCAATCCTCAGATCGCAGCCTCCTAAGTAGCTAGGATGACAGGTGTGAGCCACCGGTGCCCCACTGAAATATACTCTTTACCCGACTTACATAACTGTAACCCCTTTGTACACCACCTTTGTAATAGCACTAAAAAATAAAGAACACACATATGAAAGCTAAGCTTTACAAGTTAAAAAAAAAAAAAGCAAGACAGGTAGAGTGTCATCCCACTGATGTTTAAAAAAATCCCACACAACTAATACATTACAAACCCACCTGCACACACACAGGAAAAGATCTGTCAGAACACACACCCACCTTTCAACAGTAGCTTCTACCTGGGACTGGGGACGAGGGTGGAGAGCTTTACCCTTGTATTCTTCTGTACAATTTGGGTTTGAAACAACTGAGTGTCTACCTCAATTTAAACAACAGAATGAAGCCAGCCGTCACACTCACTTTGCAATGGCCTCGTCCCGGTCCCTGATGGCCTTCTGAAGCTGCTCCCGTGGCTCCTTGTCCTCAGATGTCACTCTGAGCCGGTCCCGCTCCTCCTTCAGTGCAGTCATCTCCACACTCAGCAGCGTCACCTTAACAGACCGCAGAAGAAGGATCGTGACGCCATTGTTGCTGGCTTGGGTAGTTTTTCCTCCATGAGGGAAAAAGGCATGGAGAAGCCCCAGTCTGGCAGGTGTGCGTGGGGGAGCAGGTCAGTGGCGTCCCACAGCTGCCCTGCCCTAGGGAGGGCTCTCCTCTCCTGGGGAAGGATGGGGGGGGGGGAAAGGGGGGGAACAGATCTACTCCTCTACTTGGCACACCACACTGCCAATCAGTTACCAGGTTTTCCTGGGGAGATACTGAAAAGCCCCGAGCACATCAAGGTTCCAGAGCACATTTTACAGAGTAGGGCTTGTCTTGTTCTAGTCATCTTTCACACTGAATGGTATTGATGGGGGCCTGGCTACCATCTCCAGAGCACTTGGCACAACCCGACTCTTCCTCATTCAGCTATCCAGGTCAAAGCCATCTAGAATCTGAAGTTATTACCTCTTGCTTTGAACCTGTCACCTTGCCTGTGGTCCATTCCTCAGCGAATGCTATCCTGGAAACCATCATTTGGCAGCGATGGACCCCTCCAGCAGCTCTGCCAGCGACCTCTGTTTACTCCAATCCACAAGAGAGTTAACCTCACATATGCCGTAATCACTGCAGGGCAGCACGGGGCTGCCTCCCTCTGTGCATACCTGAGCCTGACTGTGTGTGCCACGGAACCTCCCAACTCCTACACAGCTGACAACTGCCATCTTGGGGGCAGTCACGCCAAACCTTTTCCTATTTGGGGGCAGCTCCTGGTTGTGTGAGTCTCAGCGGGAGGCATGGCATGACTGCCCCACAGGGACAGCTCCTCATTTCCTTTCCTTTGCAGCTATGGCGCAGTGTGCAATCAGACTTGCCTGTCACTCCCCTTTCCTGGGCCAGCAGAGCCGCAGGTGAGTGGGGCAGCGGCAGCAGCAGGCTGGGCTCTGCTGTCTCTTTCTTGTGGCTTCTCCTTCCTGTTTGGGAGCAGGGGCTGTCCTGCCTTCCTCTCACTTGGTTCTGTAAACAATCGGACCCAATGCTTTCTGCCTAAATTATGCAGAGCAAATTTGTTTGCAACCAGAAACCCTCCCAGCTAGAGCTTCCAGCAAACATCTGTTAGGTAATAGAAGGGGGGGGTGTGCTTTTCTAGGTGGATAGGACTAGACATGAATTTGGATGCCTGATCTCATCTTCTTGTTAAATATTACACCGATATTTTACCATCCATGCAGGCCTGTCTCCCTCGCACAGGGGATCTATGTCACCCTTCTGCATACTTACTGGCTTCTCAAGTCCCAGGTTGAATCTTCAGATAAGACTGAAACTGAGTGAAGGCCCCAAGATGAGGCTGATGATCAACACTATCAGACTGACAGAGCAGGGCTGCCGCAAGCCACAGAGGCACTTGCTGGAGGGGTTCACAGGTCACCCCATGGCAAGGAATAGAGGGACAGTTTACTATTAGAAATCTGATAAGGATCTTCAAGGCCTGGACAGCAGAGAGCTGCAGCCTTTCAGGTGAGGAAGGCTCAGAAGAGGAGGGCCCACACCTGCAAGGCATGGTTTGGAGTATCTGAGAGGTCATGGCTTGCACATACGGCATGTCCCAAGACACAAGAAGAGGTGGTAAAGTGGTGAAGAGACCCAGCCTCACCCGAGGAAGGTTCTACTGCTTGGTTGCTAGAAGTCAAGACTCAGAAAGCACCTGGCAAAGACAGCCAGACCTCATACCAAATGAGCCGTGCCACAGCCCCAGGCCAGCTGAGTGAGGAACAGAGAGGCAATAAACAGGGACAGACATGCCAGGCAGGAACAGCCCATGTTTAATATGCTCCAAATAAAACTCTAGAGAACTTTTTGCTTTGATCTGGAAAATCTGGACAAGTTAGAGACCAGCAGGTACCTGCCTCAGGAGAAGAGACAAAGGTCTTAAAAGAGACAACCTAAAAGCTGGTCCCATCAATTAACGAAGGCAGGAGAAAAGCTGAATACTCAGCAGCCCCACTTTGCACCTGCCCATTGATCTGAGCCTCTCCCCTCTTGGGTCACTTTACAATCACGCTGGGCTCCAGGGAGGACACAATTCATGATAAGCTCTTGACAAAAGGCAGACTGCCTCTCAGACAGGCAATGCCATCTTCCCACCATCTTGAAGAGCCAAAAGATAATACAGGACATCGGTTAGGCCTCTGCAGAAAAGGCTGAGCTAACAGTAGGTCAACCAGGCCAGACCTGTGACTTGTTGATACCGGCTTAATAATGCATACCTTTCTGCCCCCAATTGTCCCGATTTAACCTGAAGCCAATGCCTGCAGCCCGAAAGATGAAGTGCTATCTTCCCATGGCTAGCTCTTTTCTCTGTCCTTTGCCATGTCTCTCTATTTGGCTTATAGGGGCAAGTGGCCAGACCTAATATGGGATTCCTAGACTTTGAGCCTGGGGTCTAAAACTTAGTTTCAGTCTTTCTCTCTGAACTACAACAGGGGAAAAACAACTGTCCTGTTGACTAAGTTGTGAAGAGAACTGAGATTGAAAACCTCAGGGTCCACTGCACAGTGGCTTACTATTATGTATTCCACTCCCTCTTTCTCTACCCGGGAGGGACCCGGGGGCTGGGTATACACAGGATGTGGATCGCTGATCCCAAATCCACTTTTCCCAAATAACATGGGTGTCCTCACACCAAAGCAGTGTCAAAGAAAGCACCCCAAAGTCATGCATCTATGGCTTTTATTATTTGGCTGCTTGTCCAGTCAGGACCTGTGCTAATACTTGAGAAGAGGGGAGGCTCACGCTGGCTCTCTGGGGTGGTCTGTGGCGCAGCTGACTGGACAGTGTGGTTTGGAGTGCAGGACGATGGCCGGACAGAGCCAGGGCACACCTCCTGGAAGGGGGTCAGAAGGGTCTCCAGGAGGAAGTGAAATCTACTCTGGAACTTGGGAGAGGAAGATAGAGCTGAGGGACAGGAGGGTCTTGCAGGTAAAGAGGATAAGAAGGAGAAGGCCAGAAATGGGGAATAGGTGCCCCTGCCACATCCACGTCCACTGATGCGAAGGGGATGGGGGGGGGCAGTCAGCATGTGGTGACTGGGGCTCGAGGCCTCCTATGACCTGATGTGGAAGCCAGTCCAAGATGGGTTGTCAAAGAGCAACCCTGCCTTCAAGTTTCACTTCACCAAGACCGCCCCCCTCATGAGGGTGGGTGGCCCGGGGAAGTGGGGATCAAAGCCTAGCTATGGCAGAAGGTAAGCTGGAAACACGGCAGTGTCCAGGATCATGGGGGGGGGGGTCATGCTCAATTTACGGTTAAGCACATTTGGTTGGTGAAGCCCTGAACGCTCCAGTCCATGTCCTGTCTTCCCAGGGCCTCTGGATTATCTGGTGGGTGCTCCAGCCAAGGCTGTGCTGTGTCTCCACCAGCCTGGGCTGAGGAGCCTCACAAATGACTGGCTTCTGTATTCGGCGATGAGTCCTGCAGACCCCCACCCCTGCCCCTCCGCTCACGGACAGGAGGAGCAGCCAGGGCTGTGGGGGCTGAGGACATGCTGGGGGAGGCGCCGGGCACGCCATCGAGTCTAGCTACAAATGTATGCCACAAACAGAAAGTATCCAATTACACTTACGCTCCCTTACTCAAAAGGAGGTAGTATATCTGACCGCCCACTTTCCAGGCCTACCTTGGGCCTCTAGCCTCATCTCGAAGTGGGAAGAAATGGGCTTGGAGGCTGGACCATGTATCGGTCTAGTTGGATGCTAGAACCTCAGTCCCAGCTAACTTTGTCTGGGCCCTGTCTCCCAAGAGCCTAGAGACAGCTCTTGGCTCTCATGACCCTGAGTCAGGCCTGAAATGCAGGGATCCCATGCAGCATTATGAGCCACTGAGGCACATGGTGGATGCGTGGCAGTTGCTGAACCAACCCTGAATGTGGATATCATGCTTCCTGGTTGGGTCTGGTCGTGGGGCCTGAACTCTGGGCCTGGGCGCTGTCCCTCAGCTCTTCAGCTCAAGGCTAGCGCTCTACCACTTGAGCCACAGCGCCACTTCCGGCTTTTTTCTTTTTGCTTATGTGGTGCTGAGGAATCGAACCCAGGGCCTCATGCATGCAAGGCAAGTGCTCTACCACTGAGCCACCTTCCCAGCCCTATGTCTGATCATTCTTGTACCCCAACCCTGCCCAGGGTATCAGCCTGACTTCCATAGGGCAGGTTAGGGCCTGTAGTTATACCTAAGAGGTTTTCACTATGAGCATTTAGGAAGAGATCATCTTCAGGAGAAAACCAATTCTTTCCCTGGGGTGGGCTGTGGGCGCCACCTCCTGCCTGGGGCATTGTGGGCATGGGAGCCGTGGAAACTGGCTTGAAAGCGCTCTAACATCAGACTCCAAGCAACCCACACTTCCTATTTCTGAATGAAACAATGCCCTCCAGTGAGTTTCTAGTACTATTATTCTGGGAAGCAAGCAAAACTAAAGAAGCCCAAGAGTGGTCAATATCAAAGAGCTGGTAAGTACACAGTGGTACCCGCCTGCCTGCCTGCCATCCCAGCTTCTCAGGAGGGCAAGGCAGGAAGATTGCGTAAGCCTTGGAGTTTAAGAATGGTATAGGCACATAGAGGGAATTCTGTCTTCAAATAAATAAGTAAATAAAATATTAACCCAAAGACCTTTTAAGTCAAATGTTCTACCACCGAGCTGTACTTCCCAGTAAACCTTTGGGCCCAGCTTTCTCTTGTGTTTTTTTTTCTTTCAGTCTGGAACATCTGACCCTGAGTGTCAACTGTTCCCTAGGCAGAAACAAAACAAAACAAAAACCCAACAGGGAGAGCGTGAGGGAAGGGGTAACATTGTCCCCAAAGATATGTACTCTTTACTTGATTTATGTAACTGTAACCCCTCTGCATATTGCCTTTATAACAACAACAACAACAATAAAACAAAGGCATGCACACAAAAAACACCGAAGATATTAAAAGTTGAGGTCAAGCCGGATGCCAGTGGCTCACACCTCTAATCCTAGTTACTCAGGAGGCTGAGATCTGAGGATCATGATTAGAAACCAGCCCAGGTTGGAAAGTCAGTGAGACTCTTATCTCCAATTAACCACTCAAAAACTGGAAGTGGCACTATGGCTCAAATGGTAGAGTGCTACTCTTAAGTACAAAGAGGCTCAGGGACAGCGCCATAAGTTCAAGCCCTGCAGAAGACAAAAAAAAAAAAAAAAAAAGTTGACATCAGAGCAGTCTCTGGCTGTCCAACCTGTTTCCCAGAGTTTAGTGAGGAAAAAGCCACAGCTTTGAGTAGCATCGCTCCATCCTTGCTTTCTGATTCTTCACAAGAAGAAGAGCAGTGTCAGCTATAGCCTTCCTGATATTATCTTTCACCCCCAAAAGTAGTGACAGAAGCAAACAGCACACTAATGACCTGCACCAGGAAGGGATCGGTAGAGGGGTGGGTGGGTGTGACAGCAATGCTGGCTGGGGCTTCCCTAGCAGCCACCCTGTGGAGGGCAGAATCTACACATAAACATGGCAAAACAGGGAGAGAGAGCCTCTATCTACTTCCCAGGACAGATTTTAGAGGTCCCTCCTTGGGTGGGGCTGCCTAAGTCTTTTAACATTTTTCAGATCAGAATTCAGATGTCCCTCTCCACCGCCGGCAAGAAGACAGAATCGGGATCAAACAGGAAAGGAACAGTGAGGTCAGCGGCCAGGTCACTGAAGCTGACAAACAGCCCCACAGAGGTGATGGTGCTGACAGAGGAGAGGCCTGCAAAGATGCCCTGCTCTCGGCCCGCCAGCGCCCATGCCCGGAAGCCGCTGGCCAAACACCTGAGAGTGGCCTGGGCACTGTGGCCCTCAGCTGTCAGCATCCACCAGTCCGCCCGATTTGGCTCTGCAGACATGTCGCTGCAGGAATGGAGGATCAGCTATTCTTGCTCCTGCCAATCTCACTTTGGGATAAACAAGGGCTGTGTTCTTCTCTTGGAGGTACTCCGCTCACCTCAACTTCAGGTCATAGTCCCCCAAGGATCCGGTGGAGGACAGCTGGGTCTCACAGAGGTGGGAGCGAACAGGGGGACATGGACACACTCTCAGCACTGGGCTGAAGATGGGGTGCTCACCTGACTGTGGAGTCGCTGCAGCTCTTCTAGGCTTTGCCTCAGTTTACCCCTCTCTCCCTCCATGAGCTCTCTCAGGGCTCTTGAGTCCTCACTTGTCTGCCTGATCTGTTCTTCTAAGGAGTCATCATCAATTCTCCGAGAGCTCTGACAGCAAGAGGAGAGAGCCAACCAGAGACAGGGAGGGATGGGAGATGGAGAGGAGATGGGGAAGCAGGTGGAGAGATGTCAGGGATAGAAGGACAGCAGGGGAGATGAAGGGAGGGAAGGGAACAAAGGGGGGGAAGACAAAGGGATAACAAAGAAGGGGAGAGAGATTAGGGAGGGAGAACCTCCAGCTCAACTTCAACTTGCAAATTATAGCTAGATGTTCATTTTTGTTTGGGGCTTCAGAGGGAGAACGCTGTGTAGGTGAATGCCACACGATGCGGATGGCTCCCTTCTCCCACCAGGACTTGGCCTTGTACAATACAACCCACAAAACAGCACAGCCTGGCCAGAGGCAAACAAGGAGCCTTCGTCTTACTTCGTCCATTACAGGCAGTAAGACATAGCCACTCTGTAAGAGGCTAAAACCTGAGGAGAAATAATTGCCCCAGAGCTGGGCATCTGAGTGGAGAACAAGCCAGGAGAAATGTCTCAGAACTGTAGGGAGGGATGCGTATCTGCTGAGGACACTGGAGGAGCCACGCCTGGAATTCTCTGAGGCCCTTGCTCATCAGCTTCCTGTGCTCATTCCACTACAAGGACCAAACAGAACAGCAACTTGCGGTTTTTACCTACTGCAAATTTCTTTAGCCATAGTTTCTAAGCACAGTCTTTAAACTTAAAAGCGGACACTCTACACACAATCAGCTGGAGGGAAGAACTTCATTTGTACGTTGGCAATTGCAAGAGGGTGACCTTGGAGGCTCCCTTCCCTGGCCCTTGGCCTCTCTGATCTCCAGTAGTCTGTGCTCTCAAAAAAATGAGCAATCAGGAGGTGCTCTGGCAGGTACCTTGCAAGGCTCCACTTCAGAGTTTACTTCACTTTCTCCACTAGATTTCAACTGCCTGGCGCTATAGGCAAGGCTCTTCTCCCATTTGCCCTTACCGTGGGCTCCATGCCATCCACGATGCTCTGGATCAGCCGCTTGAGCTCACTAAGGGCAGTGCGCAGGCTGCCGGCTGGCACGTCCTTGGCGGAAGAGGTTTCTGAAGACTCGTCCATGGATGAGTCTGTGGACACGGCTGAGTCGGCACTGTCATTTCCACGAAGGTGTGAGCAGAGATAGCGGACTTGGCAGTAGGCTTCCCAAAGCTGCAGTCTTAGCTGTGTCACAAGTGGCAATCGTCATTTCGAATCCTAGAAAGGACTTGACCATCTCTTGTCTAGAAGCTAAACCCAAGTACAGATGCCAGAGACCCTCATTTGCGGAGCAAGGGCTTTAGTTTTTAAAAATCATCTGCCCCAAGAAGCAGTACTTTTTCAAGCCCTGTACCTCTTCCCAAACTGCCCATTCTCCCCTTTCCCTGCCCACCAGCCCCTCCCGTTTGCTAATATCAAGCATTTCTTGAAATATACGATCGGATCTGTTGGGGTCAGGAAATGGTTGAGGGAATGAGTAGTTATGAGATGTATGGAAAGAAGCTAAGGGGCTAGTTCCTGAATGTTCTAGTACTCTGCCAATGCCTGAGGGAAGAGGCTGCTACCGGTCACCAAGCATCTCCTCAGTGCCACGAGGGCAGGACCTGGCAGGACACAGTCCTCGGACAGCTCTGCCCAAGGCCTCAATGGACAAGGCAGGTGGGTGACGGAGGGTCAGGTCTGCTTTATACGGCTCTAACCAGCGTGTGTGGGCGCTCATGAAGGGCCACAGGCCTTGCCAGGCAGTAGTGGAGCTCTGAAGAAGAGAAGATGGCCCATGAGCCCCGGGACCACCTGCCCTGCTGGGCTGGCAAAGGACATCAGCACCTGCTCTCTTTCCTGCTCCAGTTCCTCAGCCTCCATGCTCTGTTCGATCTCTGACAGCAGGGACGTGCTGGTGGCCGCAGAACTCTGCAGGCTCCTCTCCTCCGTGAGCTCCTCCACCTTCACTTGCAGCTGCCGGTAGGTCAGTCGCACCTCCTGGAGCTCCAGCTGGCTTTGGTGCAGCTGTGGGGAGAGCAAAGCTAGGAGGCTTGCCCAAACCAAACAGCAACAGTGCCAGAAGCTGACCACACTGCTAGCCCAGCCGCCACCTCACGGGGAAACAGGGAGGAGGAATGGGTCAGCAAGACCCAGATCAGGGAAATTATACAGGGCAAACAACTCACTGGTTTCTTTTTTTAACAAATAAGTTTCAAGAAAAACTATATAAAGGGGGAAGCTAGAAATTAAAAAAGACTTCAGAGATATCAAACAATTGCAATGGATAGGTCTGTAAACTTTTCAAGTTTATGCCATTTATACGAAAATTAAAAGTTTGAACTAATGGAGATCAAGGACATGTTAAATTTTGTAATGTAACAGTAACATGGTTATATACTCTGAACAGTTTTGTTTCCCCCCTACCCTGAGTGGTTGGGACCAAATCCAGGGCCTTGCGCATGCTAGCCAAAAGCTCTACCACATAGCTCTATCTTCTTCTTAAAGTTCTTTTACTTTAGAGATGTGCACACACACCCATGTGCTACTCCTAGGGCTTGAACTCAGGGCCTGCACACTGTCCCTGAGCCTTTTTATTCAAGGCTAGCAATTTACCATGAGCCACAATCCCACTTCTGGCTTTTCAGTCGTTAACTGAACATAAGAGTCTCAGGGCCTTTCCTGCCCAGGTTGGCTTTGAACTATAATCCTCAGATCTCAAGATTCCTGAGTAGCTAGAATTACAAACATGAGCTACTGGCACCCAGCCCTTTCTTGATTTTTAAAAGATCTTTTGTTTTTTTGGGGGGGTCTGGTCATGGGGCCTGAACTCTGGGCCTGGGCACTGTCCCTCAGCGCTTCAGCTCAAGGCTAGCGCTCTACCACTTGAGCCACAGCACCACTTCCGGCTTTTTTACTTTTTGCTTATGTGGTGCTGAGGAATCGAACCCAGGGCCTCAGGCATTCAAGGCAAGCGCTCTACCACTTAGCCACCTTCCCAGCCCCTCAGAGATCATTTGTACATGGCAGGATTGCAGAAATCAACAAGCTCAATGAACAAGGTCCCTCAACAGAGGACCGAGGCTCAGAGAAGTGAGGGATCCAGTGTAGGGAAGAGACAGCAACACAGGGGTCAGGACTCGTGGCTTGGGTCTTCCCCCTCATTGCCTCTACTTCACCCTTCTGGCTCTTCTTCACCTTTCTCTGTGGCCTTCTCTCTGAAGTCCACAACATGGCACCATTCTCCACCACTGTGGAACATAAGGACCACCAACCAGTGCCTTCCAGCACTGACTTGCTTCTTTTTTTATTTTGTCAGTTGTGGGTCTTGAACTCAGGACTTGGGCACTGTCCCTGAACTTCTTTGTGCTCAAGGCTAGCACTCTACCACTTGAGCCACAGCACCACTTCTGGTTTTTGAGGGGTTAATTGGAAATAAGAGTCTCATGAAGACTTTTCTGCCTTGGCTGGCTTTGAACCGTGATCCTCAGATCTTAGCCTCCTGAGTCATGAGGATTACAGGCATGAGCCATCTGTGCCTGGCTGACAGCAGAGTCATCAGCAGCCTGTGACATGTGACACCTGTAGTTCCTACTCTCTTCTTTGTGTGGATCACTCCCATCTACCTTAAAAGATTTTTTTCCCTTGAGGCATATGATAGTGGAAGAACTTCCTGAGATTTATCTTTATTTCTGGGGTCACTTCTGTTCCATGAATGAGAAGGGACACCAGACCTTTTTCCTCAGATTTTTGGCCAGGCCAAGGGCAAATCAGCGTGTAGTTCCTGCAGAGACGCAGAGACTATGTGGAAGCTGGCAGCAACTCCAGAACCAAGCTCTTGTGAAGGAAGCATAGCTGGCGTGCAGAACCCTTAGCCAATCCTAAAATCTATGTGCCATGAGCCTTCACTCACCCATCATTGCCAAGAAACCATTGGCTGATGGTACCGGAGGCCTGGATGAGCTCTAACCAGGAAGGGGTTGGAGCTGGCTACTCAGAGAATGCAAAAAGAACTGGCCAGCCTGCTCTGCGTGGTTCCTTGGATTGGCAACACCTGCTGGTTCAGTGGGAACTCCTCCAGCCCATTCTGAGGAAACTCAGAGCCAAGAGAAAATCAGGGCTACCGGGGGTAAAAGTGGCATTCCTTGGAAGCATTTGGCCTGGTTACAAGCAACATATTAAACTGGCAAAAGGCTTTACAATTATTTTCTAGACAATCCCACATACATCTCAGCAGGAGAAGTTCCACAAAGACAAGTATGAGTTCTTATGCACAGGGAAAAATTAGTTCAATTACTCATGCACATTCAAAGGTACTTAATTAATTATAACAGCAAGAGAACAAAAGGCCAGGAGGGGCCTCTCTGTGATTAGTGGTGGATTCATCACCTGGGCAGAAATGTGGAGAAACCAAACCAGGGAAGAAATACGAAAATAGCATTCTTTCAAACAGAAAGAGAAAGTAGCATTCGCTGTGTACCAAAGACCACACTGAGTTTACTTCTAGGCAGGAGTGTGAAGTTTAAGCTCCCAGCACTCAGGTCAGCAGAAGTGGAGCTCTCTCCCTACCTGACATTTGAGGGGTGTGTGATCTGCCTCCTGGTACATGACCATCGCCTGTGCTTTGCTAATGAAACCCTCCCAGCCCACTGGGCCCACTGTGCACACTTGTAAAATGCCTGGCTAGGTATGAAACAGGGCAGCTCAGTGGGCCTTGGAAGGGACAATTCCTTTACCAAATAAACAGTGGAACACAGTGTTTGATATAAGGTGCGTTCAATAATTTATCATGTCTAATCTCTGTTCTGAAACCTGAAAAACGAACCAACAAACTTGGATTAGGTTAGTGGCTTAAAAATCTGTCTTTGCCAGCAGGACCCCGGTCACACAGTGAATTTGACCAATGGGGCTTTCCTTGCCTGCCAGCCTTCTTCTCCTTATCTGAAGGTTTCAAATCACAGGATTAAACACATTCTAAGGCCACTGGCTGGACATTTTACAAATGTGATGTAGGACTGTACAATCGCCACACCCGAGTCAGCTTCAATTTTTACTTGTAAGTAAGGGCTGTACTGTCAACAGGCCGGGCTTTGTGGAGGACACTGGTAACCAATGGTAGCTTACATTAGTAGAAGAATAGAAGGCACAGACAGAAACTGTTATGTTGTTTAGGAGAGGTGAGAACCAAGCCATAAACTAGGCTAACAGAGTGGGAATTGCCTGCTTGCGGGAGCCCTCCGTAGGCCAGTTGGAAGACTGAATGTATAGGGGGTGAGGATGTGTGTGGGCCTGACTTGGGATTCTCACTACCACAGAACACCTAAACCATGGCATTATCCATGGTTAGTACATGGTAGTCTACACTGGTCCTGACTCTTCCCTCCCATCTACAGGTCTTCCATTATGAATCTGAAATAATAACTTTTCATTTGTGAATTCATCCTGGGCTGGACGTTTCTTTTGGCACAGGTCATTTCTGTTTTCCCTTTCCTCTCCAGGTTCTATCTCAGTAACTAAGCCCCAGAAGAGTGCCTGATAGGGGACCACATGTTGGTCAAACTGACTTGCAAGGGCAAGAGCAACAGGTAAATCAGGCGGGGGGGGGAGGGGGGAGGGGGGGATATCGGTTCCAGTCTTGATCCTACTCAGGACTCAGTACACACCTTGGGATAAGTGATTTGTCTTCTCTGAGACCTAGATTTATGAGCATTTCCATCTCCTGTGGAGAATCCTACAGTGTTCAGTATTAATACTGCCAACTTTGAAAAATGAACCAACTCCTTTCCTAGTACCATTTCCCTTCCTCCCTCTGTTCCTCTCTCCCTCTCCAGTGCTGGGGATGGAATGCAGGGGCCTGTACAAGCGAGGTGGGGCTCTAACACTGACCTATACTCAAGCCCATTTTCGATTCAACATTTACTGAGGCCCCACCACATGCAGCAGGAGAAAGCTGTTATTTGTCCTCCAAAGGGAAGCTCTCAGCAGTCTTAGCTCCGAACAGCCTCCGTAGGAGCCCAGTTAGGCAGACCTGGGCTTTGGGCAGGAACACCCCTGGCCAACCACTCTGCCCTTGATGACACTGTCCCAATCCAGTACACCCAGAGGGAAGCAATGCCTACCTAGTCCCTAGGCCCAGGCCAGCCCAGCAAAGCACCTCAGTAGTAGACACTGTTTCCTCTTTCTGGGGAGGTTAGGAGTGTTCATCTTTGTGTTTGGGGGCTTATTTCTTGTCAAGTGTGAGCTCTGGAATCCAACTGAGACCTGGGATTGCGGGTGAGGGGGGAGCAGTTCCCAAATAAGAACAAATAAAACTCAAAAAGCAGTATCCTTAGGGAGGAAAGCAGAGGACTGGTCAGGCTCACAAAGGGGTCAGCCTGTGCCTTTCCTGGCAATGAGCAGAAGGAGGATGCATTCTGCAGGGTTCAGTGGGTAGCTGCTTGGCTTCTGCTCTGCACCAGCCAACCAAATCCCTCAAGCTGACACACAGCAGCAGAGAGCACCGTGAGCTGAGCTCAGAGAGCCACAGGCACTGTCTGAAATCTAGCAGGTTTCATATATACCAGGAGGCCAGAACAACACATGGTGTTCCAGCTAGGTTAGCAGCCCAGAAAGAACGAGATGAAACTACTCCAGGGACCAGTGGCTCAGAACACATGGGAGGGATGGATCGTGGGGGAGCCACGCATTTGCCTGGCTCTAGGCATGTTGGTGGATACCCAGCAGAAATCACAACCGGGTCATGGTGAGACCCTTACACTACCCTTCTATTCCCCCCTACCCTGGGGTGGTGCTAGCCTCCTGCCCTTCCATTCTGGCTAAGATACTGTCTCAGGATAGCATCTTCCCAGTACCTGCAAGTCTTTGTCGTGGCCCTGCCTCTCCAGGATCAGCACCCGGTCCTGCAGTTCCTCCACAGTGCCTTGCAGCAGGTCATTCTCCTCTAGAGTGGCACTAAGACGATGTTCCAGCTCCCGTTTCCGATCTGACAGCATCTTGATCTGAAAGGGTGGAGAACCACAGGGGTGGTGTGGGGTCACACCCTTGGATGCATCAGAAGAGTGACTGGCCCCAAACACGGAGGCACGTGTCTGAGTGTTGTGTCGTGGGACTCGGGGGGGCCCCACCTCAGAGAGAAGAGCTGTGTGATCCTGGGCTGAAGAGAAAGGCCCTCCCCACTAGATAGCTCTCTGGCAACAGGTGGGAGTTAGCTGTGGGAAAGCTGGAATGTGGGCTGCCAGGCAGAGGAAGGAATGGTTAGTGCTCTGGAAATTCCAGAGATAAGACAGCCCCACCTCACCTGCCCTCAGCTTTACCCTAGCTCCACTACTGGCAGGAGCAGTACCTGACCTGTACTCCTCTTCCTTCAAGTCATAAGCACCAGAAGTTACCCAAGAAATTCCTGGGGCTTCAATGTTTTCATACTCAGGCTCTCCTCCATCCTCTCCCCATAGCTCGACTCTCTGGCATTCACTAGAAGAGGGCACAGCTCAGGCCTGGGGACTCAGCTAATAGAGGAGGTAGACAAGGTACAGAATCCAGTGCACTGTGTTAAGTCTTATGATGCATGCCATCTCCTATGGGAAGGTCTGGCTACTCAACTCAGTGCCAGAAAGGCAGTCAAGGAAAGAGATACCCAATTTTCTCTGGCCTGCAGGTTTGCAAGGAGCAAGCTAAGCCAGCACTCCTCATGGCCAAGGAGAGCGCCACCATCAGTGACTCCAAAAAGTCTTCCTAAGTGTTCTCAAGGGTGAACATTTGGGGTCTTGCAGGTCCCCGTGGCTCTTGCCATTTATTAGTTCCATATGGTATTGATTTTTTTATCCAGCTATGTGCTTGCAGATACTTTCCTTATTGTCAAGATGTTGCCCCAGCTCTGATCTAGCCTGGAGAACAAAGCCTTCACACTCTTCCAGAGCTAGATTCTGAAGACCAATCCAGGGAGACTTCGAAGTGTGTGTCTAACTCATCCTAGATCTTGAGATCCATCTTTCCCTCTGCCTCTTGTACTCTCTCCCCCCACCCCATCTCCCCTCTCTGTCTCTCTGTCCCTGAGTTCTGCTCACAGGGCACAGAGGTTCCCTGGCCACCAATCAATCAGATAGGATGCCATCCTGGGGAAAAGAGGTATGTGGCCTTTGTCCAGAGAGATCAGGTGTCTGTCCAAATAAAGAAGTACTGTCTCTCAAGTGTTCACCTGGGAGAGAGACCAAAAGGAGCAGGCCCCTTTTGTGAATGGGCCCACTATTGCCCACATTGAAGCAGAGTCACCTACATGAAGGGACCTCTCACTCTGGTTCATTTTCATTTAAATACCCTCCTCCCTTTAAATCCTCCTTCCCAGGGATCACCTTGTTTCCTGAGTTTCACTCAGTGAAGTAATGAGGTAACATGACTCTGATTCACAACCAACCCTTAAAAATACCTGAGTCCTGAGTTACATGAAGTAATTTATCTGAAATGAACAATTTCACAACTTGGCCTCTGAAAGTAACAGTTTCTGGGTCTCACATTAATTAGGCTGTCAATTCCCTCACCCCGCCTTCCATACCCCTAACCTTGTGGCAAAACCTGGCAATAAACATTCCTGAGATAACCTTGTTGGTGAAGATCTAGAGGAAGTGGACGATGGAAAAGAGGAAGAGGAAGACAGGCATCTCCAGTCAGACTCTGGTAGGGGCAGTCGAATGGCAAGTCATGCACACAAATGTCACAGACGGGCATGCCAAACCCCATGGGAACAAACTACTTACTTCAAGAACCTGCTGCTCAATACCAGTAGGAATTCCAAGGGAAAGGAGGAAGGAAGAAAATGGGAGGCAGAAGAGAAGAGAAGACATTGACAGACTTTAGGAAAAACATCCTCAGGTCATTTACAAAGCAGGGGAGCAGCCGTGGGGTTCTCTGGCCTGATCGCAACGGGTGATTCCTTAGCCACAGTGGGAAATGGATCCTTCCATCAAGGTCTCCCACCCTGTCTCTCAAAGCCTGGCCTGGCCTACGGGGACAAGGAGCCCTTGGGAGTGGATTTGGTAGAAGCCTCCTGTTTGAGCCTGGCAATATAACCTTTGCCTTCTCCTCACCTTCCACAAATAGGTGCTCAGAGTATCAGCATCATCACTCAACTGCTACTTTCTTCTCCCCCTGGTTTTCACATGCTTTCAATAACATATCTGTGTCCCAGGTACTGTACCAAGCGCTCTCCATGTATTAACCCACCCCAAAACTTCCATTGCTCTCATTTGACAGCTAAGAGTAAGAGCTGTGAAAGTGAACTCAGCCTAAGAGGTACAAAGAACAGGAAGATGCCCTTCCCAGATCTTATGTGGACTGGAAAGTATCTTCTCTGCAGGGGCTGACAGTCAGAAAATGTAGGCCATCCTTGATTTCCACATCCTGCACAGTCACTCTGAGCATCCTTATTCTTCCAGACAACAGGCTACCCGGGTGCAAGGATCAAGTGTTCCTCATTTAGTTTTTCACAGATGCATTTCTCTTCTGAGGTTTTAATCTCTTTTGTACAGAACAGGGATTTGTGTCCCACCTCAGAGGACTCCTTATCCAAAGGCCCAATGTCACAGTCCAAGCACAGCTCTTCCGCCCCCAAGCACAGCTGCACAGGAATCTCACCTCAGCCTGAAGGCTCTCCAGACGGATGATGTGCTGGTTCGTTGATGAGTTTTTCTCGCGGAAGTCTTCTCTGAGGGCATGGACCTGCATGGAGAGCTGTCTCTCGACTTCAGAGGCCTGAAACAAAGGAGACCTTTGGAGTTAATCCCGGGGCTGTGCAAACGGAAGTCAGTTAGATTTCTGTCTTTCATTTCTCAAGCATCCCTTTGCATTTCTAGCCCTTAAGAGTTCAAGGTGAGATGTAGTTTCCCATATCCCCATCTTTATGATAAACGCTCTGCATAGGTCTGAGGTCTCTTTACTGACAGGCCTAAGAACATGTTACCAGTATTACTCTGCACATAGCAGAAGCACAGCATTAGCTACTAAACTGAGATGAATACATAAGATGGGTCTACTTCCTGCCTTAGGGGTTCCTTTATTTCTCCTATCAACTTCCTGGGCAGAGGTCAGACAAATCATTTCTGTCTGTATTTCTCACTTCCACTCAGCATGGACACTATTTGAAATTCCCTGTTATGACCGATAAGATTTTGACCATTTGTCCCGCAAGGACACTTTTGCAAGGTAGAGTTCTCTACAAGTGCTAACTGAGGTGCTTCTTTCCTCCCCACCTGTTTGTTCTCTGAGGCAGGAGGGCCTTTAAAAGAAGGCCTACCTGGTAACCTGATCACCAACCTCTTCCTGAGGGCCCCACAGCTTGTTTTTGATTTCCCAAAAGCTTAAAAACAAGGTAGCTAGTCCCTCTTGCCGAATATCATGTCATCATATTTACTGAAGGCTAGTGTGGTATCTCACACCTATAGCAAAAGCTATTTAAAGCAGAGACAGAATGAATACAGTTCAAAACTAGGCTGGGAAAAAAGTTAGCAAGATCCTTTTTTTTTGGGGGGGGGGGTCCAGTTGTAGGGCCTGAACTCTGGGCCTGGGCGCTGTCCCTCAGCTCTTCAGCTCAAGGCTAGCGCTCTACCACTTGAGTCATAGCGCCACTTCCAGCTCTTTTTCTTTTTGCTTATGTGGTGCTGGGGAACTGAACCCAGGCCTCATGCATGCCAGGCAAGCGCTCTACCACTGAGCCACCTTCCCAGCCTGCAAGATCCTTTCTTAACCAGCAAGTTGAGTTTGGTATACATGCCTGTGATCTCAGATCTGTGAGGGGCTCACAGATAAGAAGACACTGAATTAAGGCTCACCTAGGCAAAAAGTGAGATCCTAGCTAGAAGAAAACAAAAACAAATAAACAACACAAAAAAACAAAAAGAGCTGCAGGATATAGATCAAGTAATAGAGTGGCTACCTAGCAACTAGGAAGCCCTCAGTTTAAATCCTGGTACTAACCAATTTTTAAAAATTGAGTGTTTACCATGTGCCACGAACTGTGCTAGAACACTTCCAATATCTCAATCATCATCCCCAATTTACACTCAGGGACATGAAGGAGCTGCCCAAAATTCCAGTTAAGTAGCCAGGCACTGGTGGCTTATGCCTGTATCCTAACTACTCAGGAGGCTGAGATCTGAGGATCTTGATTCAAAACCAGTCTGGGCAGGAAAGTCTATGAGACTCTTATCTCCAATTAACCACCAGAAAACCAGAAGTAGAGCTGTGGCTTAAAGTGGTAGAGCACTAGCCTTGAGCAGAAATGCTCAGGGACAGCTCCTAGGCCCTGAGGTCAAGCCCACGACCTCCCCCCACCCAAAAAAAAAAAAAATCTCAGTAAGCAACAGCATCAGTAAATCATGGGCTTCTCAGATTGTGAATGCAATACTGCCAGCTTATACTTCAAAATAGCTTTTCCCATTTCCACTGCTCACTACTAAAATTATACTTTCCAAGAGTTCTTTCTTTTAAAGTATTTCACAATTTCATTTAAGCCTTCAATTTTTTTTTCTCTTTTACCAGTAGGTTTGAAGTCAAAGCCGTGCATTTTCTAGGCAGGCACTCTGCCACTTGAACCATGCTACCAATGCAGCCCAGCTGGTCTATGAAACACTCCAGGACATAGGCCTCCTCTCATAGTGACCTTCCTAGAAACAGGTTTGGTTCTTTTTACCAGAAGTTTGATTACAGAGTTCGAGCTCTTAACCGCTGAGCTAGCTCTCTTCCTTTCAATAGTGATTACTCAGATATACACAGAGAAACACAGCTTTCAAAGGTTTTTCACTTACATTTCTTTTTTTTGTTTGTTTTTTTTTGGGTCTAGTTGTGGGGCCTGACCTCTGGGCCTGGGCACTGTCCCTCAGCTCTTCAGCTCAAGGCTAGCACTCTACCACTTGAGCCACAGTGCCACTCCTGGCTTTTTTCTTTTTGCTTATGTGGTGCTGAGGAATCAAACCCAGGGCCTCAGGCATGCAACGCAAGTGCTCTACCACTGAGCCACCTTCCTAGCTCCTCTTTTTTTGTTGTTGTTGTTGGTCACTGGGCTTGAACTCTGGGTCTGGGTGCTGTCATTGAGCATTTCAGCTCAAGGCAAGAACTCTACCACTTGAGCCACAGCACTACTTCCGGTTTTCTGGTAGTTTATTGGAGATAAAGAGTCTCACAGACTTTCCTGCCCGGGCTGGCTTTGAATGGTGATCCTCAGATCTCAGCCTCCTAGGATTATAGGAGTGATTATAACTAGGATTATAGGCGTGAGCCACCTTGAATCTCCAGCAACCCTAAGAGGCAGCAATCGTGGCCTCATTTTGTAGACAGGAAGGTAGGTAGCACCATCCTGCTCTTCAGTTACCACATCACAGCTACCTCCCAGGCAGGGACTTAAGTCATCTGCCTATGACGGTGATGGAAGGGATGGACAATAAGTTACAAACCTATCATCTGCAAGGAGCTAATGCATCTTACTAAGTCAACCATCTTCTCTTTCAGAGATGAAATCTGGCTCAGATCTTTTGACTAGTAGAATGACTATTAGCTATTTCCGAACATAAATACTCATCTTTTAAGTGTGTATATAACTCTAATATTCCAAGTGCTTTCTGACCAAAAAGTCAAGTAATGTGAAGCTTCACAGTGAATTCTGAGCATCTTTGAAGTTCCCCAAGTAAAAGTGAGCCAGGGCACATCTAAGGATGGTATGGTAAGAAGAAAGTGAAGTGGTAAACGAATGAGTTAGGAGTTCCTGTGCTGCCCTAACCTCTTTAAGTCTCTCCAAAATTATAAACTGATTTATTCCTCCTTCACCTATTAGTACAAAAAGGGCAGTTCTGAAGGGGATCCTCAGTTCTCGATTGCTAAGGATACTTCAGGGCTGAGCTCAGTAACCGAAGTTTAGGAAAATAAAGGAAAAAAATACTACACTTTAGAAATTTAGGGCATTTAAATTTGTAGGAAATAAGATCCCAGAATCAATCGTCTTTTTTTTCTTTTTTAAATAAAACAAATGAAAAACAACAAAAAGCTGGCATATTATTTTTTTAACATATTTCCATGTCACTATGTAGCTTAATTTTTTCCCCCATTTATCCGGTATTTAGTTATACAATTATAACTTAGTCCCTTCCTGATGAGAGACTCATGTTTGCCAGAAAAACGATCTAATTCTGAGCCATACTTCCAGCCCTTTTTGCATTGTTTAAGATAGGGTCTTCCTTTTTGCCTAGACCTGCACCTAGACTATGATCTTTTTTTTTTCTTTTTTTTTTTTTTGGTTGGTCGTGGGGCTTGAACTCTGGGCTTGGGCACTGCCCCTCAGGTCTTCAGCTCAAGGCTAGCGCTCTACCACTTGAGCTATAGCACCACTTCTGGTTTTGTAGTGGTTTATTGGAGATAAGAGTCTCATGGACTTTCCTGCCCGGGCTGGCTTTGAACCATGATCCTCAGATCTCAGCCTCCTGAGCAGCTAGGATTACAAGCATGAGTCACCGGCGCCTGGCTAGACTACGATCATCTTTCTATTTTACTCTTTCTGTGTAGCTGAGATGTATGCTACCATGATCAGTTTCCACTGAGAGGGGGTAGAGGGGTTCACAGACTTTTTTGTCCAGGCAAGCCTAGAACCACAATCTTACATATATCAGCTTCCCAGGTAGCCAAGATTGTTAAGTGTGAGCCACCACATCTAACTTAGATTTTTTTTTGTACTAGTCGTGGGGCTTGAACTCAGGGCTCAGATGCTGTTCTCTGAGCTTCTTTTTGCTCTAGGAGTTACAACCCTCACTTCTGGCTTTTTGGTAGTTTACTAGAGAAAAGCGTCTCACAGATTTTCCTGTCCAGGATGGCTTTGAACTGCAATCAGATCTCAGATCTCAGCCTCCTGCGAAGCTAGTATTACAGGCATGAGTTACTGGTATCCATCTGAAAGTTTTAAATTATCTTCAAAAACTTAAACTCTAGCTTCCACTGCATATAGACTGAATGATAAAGAAAAGACATTTAAGAAAAAACTCTCAGCTGGGCACTGGTGGCTCATGCCTGTAATCTTACCTACTCTGGAGGCTGTGATCTGAGGATCACAGTTTGAAGCCAATCCAGGCAGAAAAGTCTATGAGACTCTTATTTCCAATTAACTACCAAAAAAAAAAAAAGAGCCAAAAGTAGAGCTATGACTTAAGTGGCAGAACACCAGTCGAGCACAAAAGCTTAGGGACAGAACTCAGGCCCTGAGCTCAAACTCCAGGTCCAGCCTCCCACTTCCTCTCCCCCACCACAAAAGTAACTCTGGTTCTATTATAGAAAGCTGAGAAAGTTGACAGTTATCATCTGAGTGATTTTTTTTTAAGTTTTAGCAAGGATTTTAGAATAACAGGATTAAAGTAGAGGAAAATGGAGGAAAGAAACATTCTCCGCTCTCTCTACAACAAATGGGTTCTTCTTGGGTTACTACTAATGTATTCTCAAGTTGATAAACCAACAGCATATTCCTTCTCGCTGATACCTAATTCAGTCAGAAAAGTACCTATCACAGGTACTTCCCTTCCCACTGAGTACAGCTGTTCCATAATTACTTTTTCCTCATTGACACAATTAGCAACATATGATTGTTTCTCTAAGCTGGAGTGATAGGTTTAAACTAGCCAAAGCAGACTGTTAACTATACATTTTCTTGCTAAATGGAAGAAAGGAAATTGAATTAATCATATCTGACTGAGCATCCACCTACTTGTAATTTGTCAAAA